AATAAATAGGCGGTCGAATTTTAGAGGGGTCGAAATTTTGGAGTTTTCACGGTACTAATTATTCCATTTCAATGAAACTTAGTACAATGATGCTCTAGGACAATGTACAAACCTAATTAGTTTGGGGTAAAAATCTGTTCATATTAATTCCCTAATAAGCATAATAATTCATAATTTTTTGGTTCTAATCACATTTCAATTAAACTTGGAGACATAGATTTTCTGTTACATTGCGCAGACCTCATTAGTTTTACACTCAAATCTGGTCATATTAATTTTCTGATTTGCATAATTAGTTTTCAGCTAAGTAATTTCGAATTATATTTAATGTGTCTCCAATACTCTCAGCACATGGGAGTTCTTTCTAAGCTTTCTTTGATTACAAATGTCACTTCATCTTCAACAGTTGTCTTCTACAGAGCGGGATCACGAAATAAGAAGCATGGATTTAGATCTTTGTATGTGCTGGTTTGACAGCGATTATGGGTTGGAAATTTAATTATAATGGGATCCATTGTACCAATGTTGATAATTTTTACGAAAACTGCTAAAAACTAAATTTTTTTTTTTTATACAGGTGATGTGGGTACTAAAGTGATGTATGAAGGCAAGCATATTCACTACTCCGACTTTGACAATAAGCCTTTATGCTCCTACAGTGTAAAGCTATGTAAGCAAAGACGGCTTAACGGTTTCGCCTTCTGTATACGACATGTTTTAGAAGATAAATCGGCTCCGTTTAAACAGTGTGATTACGTTGCAAAATACAACAAACAAAGATGTACCAATCCAATTCCGAAAACTGAAGAAAGAATGTAAGTTGAATAATTTCATTTTTTTTAAATCGACTCAGACAATCTGCATACTGTAAAATACTTTATTTTCGCTTGGAATTAATTTTCGCTATTTTTGCTGATTCAGTGAAAATAAAATCAAGTGAATATACCTTTTTTCCTATATTTAACATTCAACTTGTCAAAAATCAGTGAAAATAAATTCCAGCTAAAATAAAGTATTTCACAGTATTGTGACCTGAATAACTGTACTTCACTAATACTCATTTTTGTGTTACAAGCAATTTTTTCATATCCATGCAAATGCACTTCGCTGTCAACTCTTAGTATAATATTTAACCTTTCAAATGCCATAATTTTTCCCACTAAGATGTTGGTGCAATATTTAGCACATTTTTACTTATAAAAATGTGAAAAAAATGCTGCTTCCAAATTTTGGTGGAAAAATGATGGCATTCAAAATGTTAAATCAAATCCAGTAACATTATCACAATCTATAATACAAAAATTGAAAATGAAAGCTGATATCTCAAAAGCGTTCAAATAATTGCTAGAAGAAAATTTTTTTTTTAAATTTTTTCCCTATATTTTAATTCAACACATCAAAAAAACCAACAAAACACCCCAAATTTCTTTTCGGGAAAATTATTTCCAGCTAAAATAAAATATTCTACAGTATTTACTTTTTACTCGGCTAAACCATTTGTTGTAGGGGTTGCAGCTTAGGAATGTGCACTTAAACACACATACCATATGGACATAAATCCTTCAGAAAAACAAAACTTCTCTAGGAAATAAATATGGTTTTTCACTTTTTAATGACATGACCATGGTTTTCATCTTCCTTAATTATTAATAAAGTATAAATATTTCACTAGATGGATAAATATTCTTTGTTGTATCATAAAATTAATTGATTTCCTTACTCATTTATTCATTGACACAGATATTGCAATAGTCACCTCCAAGTCTTGGGAATTGTTCCTAAGAAAGAAAGAAAACGAAAACATGCAGATTCACCGGATAATAAAAAGATCAAAGACACAAAAGAAAAGGAGAAAAAGAAAGAAAAAGTGGTTGAATTGACTCTGATTAATAACCACAAAAATGAAGTGGATGATTCTGAACTTGACGTTTATACCTTTGTACCTTCACCGCCATCAGGCGAATATAAGAGACAGCCACTCAAAGTTGCCAAGGCAACAGCTGACAATAGGGAAAAATCATTAAAGGCATTGAAGGTTGCCAAGGCAACAACTAACCATAAGGAAAAACCATTAAAGGCAAAACTTCAAGATAAAATTAGTAAAAATAAACTCAAGTTAGAAAAGGAGAGAGAAAAAGAACTGAAAGGAAAAGTGAACCATGTGAATAAGTTGAATACTACTACGCTCCCCTTGTCATCGTCGTTGTGTGGTGCGCTGCCAGGTATATCTCTAGCACCGCCTCCGCCACCAGCACCTCTGGGTTATTCACATGTGTCAACGTCGTCATTTCCAGTGCCACCCATTTACCCCACTTTACCACCTTATTCGTTTCCTATTCCCCCGTTACCTCATGTGCCTGCCACGGATGCATCTTTCCGTCAATGGTTGCCCACTTATACACAACCGAGTGTACCAATCTTACAAGTACGTCCAAAAAGGCCAAGGCCGATACCCGCATTGCCGGGAAGGACTAATAAGCCTGTGGAAAAATTATTGCATCTGCACAAAAGAAAAGTAGAGAGAAGTTTTGATTTATATCCGCTTGGTGAGTGTATTTTATATTATTTGAAGTAGAATGCTGTTGGTGTGATTTTGACGTGCATGCATATTTTAGCGTATATAGCGGTAACAATATTCGTGCCAATATCTGTTGATAATTTATAGTTGCTGTTCATCTAATTTTAGTAAAATGCCAAAACAAAAAGTTTAACCCATTTTCACCACAATTTTCTCCAAGCTGAGTAAAGTATATTTATTTTAATTTCTGTTTCTTCATTCTTGTCACATGAATATGTAAAATATGTGAAATATGTGAAATATGTAAAATATGTGAAATATGTAAAACAGACTAAATACCTAATATGAATTGTTAAATTTTTCAAGCAAAAATTTATCGACATTTGTACAATTGCTTCAATTTTGAAGTATCTCCCGTCACTATAGAAACTTGCTTTTTTTTATTTCAAATGTATGCATAATTGTGGTAACTGAGTGTTCGCCTAACGACTACCGTAATGATCCACACACGAAACGGCAATATACACGTTAAATTCACGTTTATTTTGTGGAGCTGTAAACTACAACTCGGTAAGCTTTGCCGCCATTACAAACTCAAACCAGGTCATGTGACCACTAACAAAAGAACATCTAGCATACTAAATATGGATACCAAGTTATCACAATAATCTGTGGTGATGAACTAACTCTAGTGTAGATTTCAACGCTCGGTCACATGATACCGGTGATGTGTATGAATAAATAAAAAAGCACATGAACCCAGGGCTTAAAAAAATTATGGCCTTAGCAGAGAGGAATATGGGTACCGGTAATATCAAAGTGCACCAATCCAAACTCATTAGGCAACAATGTAATTGGCCTTTGTTTAGGTGAAGTTCAAGCCCAAATTTAAACTTTTTCCATATTTTAAAACAATTTTGTTCAAGAGCTGCAGCCATTGGGAAACAATTCCTGTAGATCAAAATCAATAAAAAATTTAATTAAAAATTTTGGATGGAAAAATTATGGCATTAATGAGTTTAAATCATCTTGTTTTTAGATGATCGGCATCAGTGTTCGGCCAGACAGCCTCAGTGTATTTTTTATTCACTGTGCATGTTACATTTTCAAAAGAGCTTTCTATTCAACTAATCACATTCAAAACAAATGTTCATTTCGAATGTGCTAGTTTTTACATTTGCATTCTGAATGAATCATTCCTATGTGTCTTCTAGCACGTACTATAATTTCACTGAAAAATAACGACCTTGAGTAATATACTATCTAATTGTGTATATTGCTATGGAAACAACATGTAATTGATGTTCTAATTAGATCTGTGATGTTAATTAGCAATCATACTTGCCTCAACTCGCATCACTTTAGCTCTGTCTTGAATGAGTGGATATGTAGGTCGTTGTACATTGTGTGTGTATTCCATCGATGCGATACGTCACCAGTTTTTAATTTGCTACTTTTATTTTGTGGTTCAGTGAAAATCAGCTTACTGATATTTTAATCTCGAATTTTCTGTTTCTGAGAAAAAAACAAAAACAAATCCAGCATTTGTTATTTGAATAACTAGGTCTTATGCATGACCCCTAACGGCTACACATTCTGTTTTTTTCTGAGGCTATTCACCATATTTTTGATGAACAGTTTCCAATATTACCGATAGACGTCTATTTTTGCCATGTTTGTTTTCATACTTCAAAGACAACTACTTGCATTTTTGAGAAAAAATAAGTGAGAAATTCTCATCGATAAAAAATGGAACCCAATAAAATACCAGGATGTGTGACCTTTATGTACCAGGATGTATGACCTTTAGGTACCAGGATGTTGGTTGAGTATTAAGCATATTATCATATATATTTAGAAATGGTACACTAAAACCATACAAGTGGTTGAAAAAATGTTGCACTTCGAAAATTATTCACATACCCAGACAGTAGATTGATGTAGGATCTGATTGACCTATATATGTATTGTCACACTCAATAATTAATAAATAATATTTTTTTCTATTTCAACAACTCAATAATAATTTTAGTATATATTGATACAGTGATTGTGGGTGACCGGACTGATGTTTTCATCTCCATGTTATCCAAAATTTATTAACTGCACTTCAAATTTGAGTTGCCGGATAATTTTCATTTACGATTTAATTGATATATATGTTTTGAAAGTTTCATTGGTTTTATAAAAAATGGACATATGTTTAAATTATGAACGTCTGACTTAATTTGTCCACAGCTTTCACCTATATATATATTTTTTTTCATTTATACATGTTATTATATTTTATAAAGTTGCCTTCATACTTTGCAAATATGTAAAACTTCACTCCCAAAACAAGATACCGTACTTCCCCGATCATAACACTAGGGGGCTGAACATGTAAAATCGGCAAAAGTAAGGGGTGGGCTTATACTCGAGGACCGTCTTAGGAAAGATGTTTTTTTTTTTTTTTAACATTGTAACCATCTTACCAACCACGAAAAATTATCCATATTACATCTTTCGTTCACCACGCCGGGCTTTGAAGAAAAAAAATGCTTATCAAGTTGTCATTGATTTCCACAACACTTTACAATGAAGAAACAAACATATTTATAAAAATACGCACATTTTATTACAATACGATTTACCGGTACATACAGTCTGAATTTACGGTGTAAAGCAAGAACTTTATCATTTTCTTCGTTGTGGAATGTTTTCTATTGTACGCAAACTCTCTATGCAAAGCAATTTCCACCATGGTGTTTTTCTCAGGATTTGACCTGAAAAAACGCCCTTTGACCTAACAGGTCACGTGTTTCATTAACCAATCAAATGGATGTACTACCGGTAATGAAATTTTCTGGTGACCATGTAATTTTTTTGAATACAATGCGAAAGTGAATCATCAAGATGTTAAAATGCGATCTGCAGCACTGATTTCGTGGAAAAAACAATTTTTTCCCTAAAAACTAGTGATTCACAATTTCGAAAGGTAAACTGAGTGTAGAGGAAGTATTTAAACCATCTTTCACTGTCGCCAACAGGTCACATCGAAAAATAGTTTACTAGTTCACACCCCCCTATAGTCTCAATGGACATGATTAAGTAAAATGATGTCGTTCTTTGCCGTTTCGAAAGCTACTACTCAAAGAAATATGGATTACTCCAGTATTGCAGCATTGGGGTTTATCTTGAGTAAATAAAGTACTTGGAATTTATTTTCGCTGAAGGAATGATTCCGTGAAAATAAAATCCAGCAAATATACTTTTTTTCCTATATTTCACATTAAACTCATCAAAAATCAGTGAAAATAAATTCTAGGCAAAACGCCCAAAAAGCCTTTTCAGCGAAAATTAATTTCAGCGAAAATAGAGTATTCCACAGTATAACTCTTTACTCAGTGTCTGTTGTTTACATATCTAGCTTAACTTAAGAGATACGTACATGCATATATAGTAGATAGTATTTGGTAATTGCTATACTAAGTAACTATTTAAAATACTAGTAACTAGACATTTCAAGCAATCGCTCATTATTGATAGCATATAAGACATTATTAAAACGTATAAGTAGAACATAAGAATGTAAAAACACGTACAACAACTATAAAATGGAATCACTAAAAGATTACACAATAGAACATGTATATGTGCACGAGGTAGTATTTAATTTAAGAGGGCCGCTTCAATTTGTATTCCGCAGTTAAATTCACCTTACCCATCCACAGACTCAATATTTGATGGCATGTGGTTGATCAGTGGATGGTACCTCACAGATTTGCCATGTTAGAATGTAACTTTAATAGTACCAGAATGTAAAGGCAATATAACATATACGCTGAAGATGATGGCTCTCAGAATAAAATGACATTCTCTTTTTATAAATGAATTTCATGATGATGTAATTACATGCCTTGTCTCTGGGACTAAACTTTTAATATTCTCATCTCAATTCAGGATTTGATCTATCAGATGAAGAAGATTACAGTGATGATGACATGTTGCCATGGCAACAGACCCGATTAAGTAGTTTAGACTCTGAAGATCCCTGGTAAGTACTTATAATACATTGTGTAAGGATTTTTCCTGCTTCATTTCAGATAACCACAGTGATAGCGGGGCTTCTTCCAGGGATTGGCGACATCCCAGCCCCTATGAGGCCCCTATTATTTAACTGTCATAGAAGTTGAAGACAAATTCGTTTTGGATGATCTTTGTCTTGTCTGAAGACTAAAATGATGTTTTATGTTGTCATTAGCAACTACGAAATTGTACATAGACAGATGGCATTTTTAGAGATAAAAACATTAATACTTGTAACGACATTAATACTTGTAACGTTATTGCAATCGTAAGAAAATACTTTCTTAAAAACTGTTTCCAGATTTTCAAGCAGCCACCTTTGGCCTTTTGAAATTTCATTTCAACAATTCCAGAAAAAATTCCTGCTATGATTTTGCATAGAATTATATTTCAATGATAGCTGTATTTGAACTACAGTGAAATTGTATATTTTGTTGCTTAGTACTCATTGAATAAGATTCCTTTTCACTATGTCTCCAGCCTTACTTCACTGACGTATTTGTTTATTACTTCTCTCTACAGTTATCACAATTTTGATATCTCCTCTTTAAGAAATTTACGCGTAGATGTTTTAGAAACAAGACTACGTCACGAGTACAGTCAACACAGACATTGTAAACACAGTCACAAGTACATTCATAAACATCATCGCAAGTGTGCAAAATTATTGTTAGACGCTGTCAAAGCCAACAGGCATACAGCTGTCAACGCTATATTATCAATTAGAAGCCAAACTATTAAAACGAAGTAAGTAACCACTTATTATTTATTTTTATTTTTTAAATTTTCAATGCAAGAAATTTGTTTTGATTAAATATTGGTTATGGGCTTTTTTGATTTCTAGTTTCCTCTGTTGGTTTTCTTTTATCGTTCTTCATATCATTTTTGTGATTCGGCATGTTGACGATTTGTTTGATGTATCTATGACAGTTCCGACCTAGACTGGTCCCTATTGCAGACCCAGTCTGGTCAACAATTGAGACTCAGACGGGTCCACAATTGAGACCCAGACTGGTCCACAATTGAGACCCAGACTGGTTCACAATTGAGACCCAGACTGGTCCACAATTGAGACCCAGACTGGTCTACAATTGAGACCCAGACTGGTCCACAATTGAGACCTAGACTGGTCCACAATTGAGACCCAGACTGGTCCACAATTGAGACCCAGACTGGTCCACAATTGAGACCCAGACTAGTCCACAATTGAGACCCAGACTGATGCATATTTGAGACCTAGACTGATGCATATTTGAGACCTAGACTGATGCATATTTGAGACCTAGACTGATGCATATTTGAGACCTAGACTGATGCGTTATTGAAACACTGGTCCCAGCATTTTATAATAAAATGTTTGCGACAAAAGTTTTAATGGCATTTGCTGGCATTGAATTTCATAAGAATCAGTGACGATGTCCAACTGACCACTGACATTTTCACAGCTGCAGTATATCTTCCTAATGCACAAATTTGGGACATTAAAGAAGATTATTATTCTTCTTGAAAAGAAATGTTTTTGTAAATATGCATCACACACATATAATTTTGTGGATTGTACATTTCAATTTTCATAATTTAGTTTCAGAAATTAATTAGCATGGACAAGTGTCAATAGAAATAAGTAGGATATATTCCAAATTTTCTGCCAGAAAATAATAATTGTTGTCATGGTCACACAACAATAGGTTGATTTATTCATTGGTGTATCAAGGTCATCTCCAGATACCTGAATTGTGCCACTCCTTGTCTAGTTGTTATCATTGCAACCATGGTGATACATGTATTTATAACGGTGTTTTGGGTTTGTGCCAATATTTATATCAATTTATCGGTGGTTCAGATTTCGTCCTGTGTCCTAGTATGAACATAAAGTACAATTTTAGAACGGGGGGAGAGTGGTAACTGGAACAGCTAAAGTACATATGGGTAAGGTATTATATGGGTTGATATAGAAGAGAAAAAAAAAAAAAATCACACACATTGATTTTAAAATACAAATGACTATTATAATTTTCTTGGTGTAACATTTATAAAAAAAAAATTCCCAGTGCACGAAAACTTCAGTTTCTTACATTACATTTTAAATGAAACAACCTGGAAATGAACCCAATTTTGGAGCCGTTGGACAAAATGTGGGTAAATTTTCAGTGTTTACCCAAAAAATTTGGCTAGTTTTTCCCGATCTTTTGAAGGAAATTGCAGACTATAAGTGGGATTATTTTGTGAATTTGTGTTGAAAAGAGGGAACTGGTGGTGTAACGGATAAGTAACAAATATCCTACAATTTATGGACCAAAGAAAATAATTGAATTCATGAATGTTGCTTTTATTTTTCAGAAATGTAAAGTCCAAAGTTGTAGATAGGTGTAGTTATGAACAAGATGGTGAAGACGAATGCCAGCATATATCGCTGCCATTCACTAGACATTGTGTTGAACGTATCCTTTATTTAGTATGCATGTGAGGTCACGACCCGACTTTTGGCCTACTCCCCACTCAGACATTCTACACTCTACTTTTACCCAGTAACTATATAAAACCCATTTCTTGATTATATATAGGTAGATATATAATTCTAATTTTTATTCTAAAAATATTCAGCCATTATGCATGCGTCAATAATTATTATACCTCTATTCGTGTAATAGTTTCTTTGAACTTTTTGAATTTTATGGCAAGATAATTATTGAGAATGTGTGACCTTTAGGTACCAGGATGTGTGACCTTTGCATATCAGGGTTATGCTTATGCCTATTGATCACTAAATTAAGATGAGATATATGAAGGATTTATAAGATTTTGCAACTCAGATTTCCATGCATGGGAACATGTGTGGCAATCGAATGTACATGTATGTTAGAGCAAATGGCAAAATGCAATGGACACGTTCAATTCAGTCAACTAAAATGAGTGATCGCAGGGCAAAAAAAAAACCATATTATACACTATGTGAATGTGCACTAGAAAAACAACCTAAGACAGGCACAAACCAGTTTCTTCTTAGAAGCTACGCTCTCATACGTCTAAAAAACGCCGGTGTTAACACTGTTTTATTGTTGTGCAAATAGATAATATGCTGAATTTTCTGCTCGCGTTCTCACTTTATTAAAAACATTGGTGTTTGAGGATTGAATGCTGGCTTTCCACCTAATATTTTGTGTAGTTCCTCCCAAAATGGCATAGTTTTTGGATCTCTACCGCTTCTGTTTCTGTTGTGACAAAGGCGTTTATGATCTGGTCAACCCCTTTTACAAGTGTCAAAAACGTCGACGCCACAACGACGTATTCTGTTCACACACACACATTTTAACAACGTTCTCAAATAAAAAGTGTTGTGACAACGGCTTATTTCGTCCAGTGAGAACACGACTAGAATCACTGATTTGCATTGAATGTTTGTCTTGCAAATATAAAATCGTTCGTTTTCGTGACTTTACATATCAGTACAATTACATACCTTGATCTTATAACATTACATTAAGGAGATTTAATTATAAGTATGTTAATTAATTATAATTAACTTAATTAATTATAAATGATGTTAATTAACTTAACTTGACATGATTAGACATTATGTACAATGAACACCAAGTGTTGTATGCGTACTGTACTGCTAAGTTTCCCGGAGGTGTGCAATGTTCTGTTCCTGTTTTTGATATTATTAATGAACGGCCACTATGTGAGGAGCATGCTAGAAAGATGGTGAGTAATTATTCAATGTATCTTTCATTCTCACCAGGGGAGTTACATCATAGTCTCCCAATATCTAAACCTTAAAACAGTTACTGTGACGGCATTAATTATTCACTGGGTTTTAATTTTGATATTTTGACTGGTAAATAGAATCTGCTTGAAAAATAGAACTCGTTGTTTCTCTGCTAAATTAATGAACATAAAAGTCACTGAAATTGACCAAACATCAAAAAAGTGAAATTTCTGATGCAACAAGAAATATGGTAAAAGTAATTTAGTGTTTGGCCAAAGTGGCTTTCAGCTAGTATAAGGTGTTTGCATTATTAGAAGCAAATTTCTAAAAGAAGCGTGAACCAAACATTGCAAATGCTGTATATTTGATCATGTCAATTTTGACCCATTTACACTTACCGGTATCGTCATTTAGGTAAGTGCATACAGTAAAATACTTTATTTTCGCTTGGAATTTATTTTCGCTACTTTCGCTGAAAGAATGATTCAGTGAAAATAAAATCCAGCGAATATACCCTTTTTCCTATATTTTACATTAAAGTTGTCAAAATCAGTGAAAATAAATTCTATCCAAACCACCCAAAATATCATTTCAGCAAAAATTTATTCCAGCTAAAATAAAGTATTTTACAGTACTCTACTACGGTAATAAAGCAAATCCGTTATTTGGAGTTTATTGTCATGAGCAATGCATGTATCGTGTTGCAAACTTTCATTTGTTCACAGATGATGAATGTTTACATATCTTGTTTCTTGTAGGCCAATGTACAGAAAGGTGAAGCAAACAGAAAAGCCATGCTGGCAGATGGTATGGCGCCTCCAAGACGACCGCGAAAGAAAACAAAACCATCAGCACTCACAAGGCCATCAAAGAAGAAAAAGAAAAAGAAACAACGGAGAAATATACGCCCACAAAAACCCGTCCCTCCAGCAAGTGAGTATAAATGAGATGTAAATTTGTTTTATTTGTTGTAAACTGGCAATTATTGATTTTCACTTTTGAATTACTGTGAAAGTTTTTAAAAATCAGGGTCACAAATTTGCGAAAATATTTATTGCATAAACATCCTATCAAATTACTGTACATCACTAAGCGTGTTGACCATTTTGAATCTGATTTGCAAAACAAAGTGATGTGCATCAAGGTATCATAATATG